CCCCAAAACCCCAAAACCCCAAAACCCCACTAGTCTTTGTGAATGCAATTAAAGAAAATTATTATTTCAAAAAGAAACACTTTATTTGCTATTATTTATAGATGAACGTGCATTGACTTCATTCTGCTCTTCTTATAACAATAACTCAGATAAGTGGCAAAACCCTTTTGCTTTTAAAACTTTAAGAGGTTGAATGAGAATTATCTTTATCGCTCATGAATACAATTCAAAGATTAGATTAATTTAGCTTAAGTTTTCAATAGCTAAGGCATAGAACTGAGAGCAGGCCAATAAAGGCGAATATGCTAAGTTTTAGGTTTTTTGCGTTTATATATGATAGTATATATGTCTGCTAATACTCTGTTGGGTTGAACACATAAAAATACATTATCTAGTTCTTAGAAACAGGCTATTTACAGTTTGCACCTTAACATTCTGCTGTTAATTAGGAAAGGCTTGTAATAACTGAAGGGTCCAAAGATGTAGCATAGTAAGTTAAGTTAGCGTAATTATCATTGTACCAGTATGTTCCATCATTACCTTCATACTAGAGTTGATTGCTGAATTTATAGATTTAAAAATTTTCATTAGTATTTGTTGTCTTTACTCTGAGAGATGGATATGTAATAGTGGTGTCATTTATCGTGAGCTCGATCAAGTCTGCTTGGCATTTAAACAGATTTGAAATGACTGTATTTCCTGAAGCACAAGCTGTATCTTGACAGACCCCAGATTTAGTTGAAGTATTAATGCACCATCTTGCATTAATATTTGCATTACCTGGGTATAGACATCTTTAGCAAGAGCCTAAATTTGAAAAGACTGCACCTTGTACAATAGTTGAAAATAATGCAAATGTAAAGATAACTGAAACAATTGAGCTGCAGAGGTTAAGTTTTATTTTCATATTTTCCAAAATAATTTCACAATATTTAAATTATTTATTCGAAATTAATTCAAACTAATTTGCCTTGAGGGGTTTTGGGGTTTTGGGGAGATCGGAAGAGCGTCGT